TTATTCTAGACTTCCTACAATACTACGTTTATTCCAACAAGGGTTATTCTAGACTTCCTACAATACTACGTTTATTCCAACAAGGGTTATTCTAGGTTTCCTACAATACCCACGTTTAGTCCAACAAGGGTTATTCTAGACTTCCTACAATATTACGTTTAGTCCAACAAGGGTTATTCTAGACTTCCTAGAATACCACGTTTAGTCCAACAAGGGTTATTCTAGACTTCCTAGAATACCACGTTTAGTCCAACAAGGGTTATTCTAGACTTCCTACAATACTACGTTTATTCCAACAAGGGTTATTCTAGGTTTCCTACAATACCACGTTTAGTCCAAAAAGGGTTATTCTAGGTTTCCTACAATACCACGTTTAGTCCAACAAGGGTTATTCTAGACTTCCTACAAGTCTACGGACTTGCAATGCTAAAATCCGGGGTTCGATTCTCCGAGGTGGACACTGCAGATGTGGCTCTTCTCTTAAACCAACCAACAAACAGTTGTTGTTTAAGTCTTAATGTCAAACATTAAATACTGCATTGAGACTAACAACTCTTTAAAGATAACTATTACATTAGTTTTACTGACATTCTCCTTGTTTTCAGCTCTACAAACAAGATACGATATCGGGCCGAGTGTATTTGTCCCTTTCGGAGGACTCAACTTGTATCTCAGGTCTTCGGAGTTCTTCTGATGGCTATGAAACGTTTGTTTTAACTCCTCGTAAGTATCAGATTTAAGGTTTCTTAAACTTTTAAAATTAACGAATCGTTCTCATTAACTTTGAAATCACCGACTTATTTTTCACACATACTGCATCATGTTGAATAATTTCATGTTCTCGCCTATCACGACACTTATATTCAAGCCTGTCATGTTAAGGTGTAGAACAAAAATATTGTCCAAGGTCACTTATTCCCAAGTTTTAATACTTCAGTAAAAAAAATAATCAAGAATAACTTCTAGATATCTGGACAGCTATTCTGGTCAATATTTCAGTTCCATCTCGAAGTCTCCCAGCTCCAGTTCTCTCTGCCAGGTGCAAATTTCCCTCTTGGCTCCAAGGCCGGTGGGAAAACCTGGAAGTCAATGGAAATAAATTTATCTATGAAGATCACAGAAGATTTCAGACGCTCATTGGATGGTGCGTTACCAAGGAAACCAGTACTCCATTCGAATGTTACCACATCTATACCATCAACCAGTGGTGAGTTAAGTAAATATAGAATGAAAGCTGGTTTTACCATATAGTCGTGTGTCAGATCAGGGCAATGTTTCATGTATTAACAATCTCGTATTTCTATGTTAAAACTAGATATAAAACAGAATTAAAATGATGTTAGAAAAAGACAATACTTCATGTTTTATTCAGAGCTTTATAAAAAAATCCTTTAAAAATAAATTTAAAAATATTAGTTCTTTGTTCTTAAACCGAGAGGAACAAAAGATAACTTGTAAAAACGTATAGCTTTTCGTTTCTTTCTTAAGCCTAATATACATACTGAACATTTAATAATCTATGAGATAGGGTTACGCATCTTTGAAAACTGTCAAAGAAGAAGAAACTTAGGGGTTGAATTCACCTGGGAATCGATTTACCTTATCATATTTTTTTCATGTTGGCTAAGTTATTCAACTCATCGATAAATCTTAAATCTAATTTTACTAAATCTGTAATAATGTAGGCTATAAAAATTAATTTAATATTGTCTATTTTAATATATTTAGTTAGAAGCTATTTATTTTATTACATTTAAATTTTAATTATCTATTTTAATAGATTTTATTTAGAATTATCTATTTTAATAGACTTATTTTAAAATTATAAATAATATTCATGTTTTTAAAGTCAGTTTCTTCTTTATCGGACAGGTGGCAGCACGGTCTATTAGGGATGGCTCTGGTTGTTTATCGAAATGGTGTTTTAAATATTTCCTCAATAGGTCATCAAAACTTTACAATACTATACAGTGTTTCCTTCTATAACAATATCTATGTAATGACTGAGTCACAAGTTATGTGAAAAAAAGTTTGAATTTCCTGTTCTTCTTTCTGCTGTTTCTTTTTTATTACATGATAACTGAAAAACCAAAATAATGGTGTCACTGAGGTGACATAGTTTCAAACGGAGTATCTGCCTTTATAAGTATTATTAACTAGTAGTAATTTAAAACTTATCATAATTGTAGTGTAAACGATGTTATCATTACCCCTTGAAGTTAGCGTTTTTTACAGAAATTTAGTGTTCTTTTAAAAAGTTTAAGTACAGAGTGAAACGGGAATTACCAGCTGATAATAGATAAACAATAAATATTACAGTTGGAACCTTATTGTATTTAGAACTTTGTTATAAATACAACCTTCCTATGTCTATTGAAACACTGCATTAAATAAAACAAGTACAGAAAACGTTTTTAAAAAGTAAATAAATGTAGGGATGGCTAATGTCAATCCTTCAAAAACAATGTAAACAAGATAGTAGGGATGGCATTTGTATCATCCCTACATAATAGCACAGGCAAGAATTAACATATATTATCCTATTTTTGTCTATTATGTAGGGATGAT